TTATCTGTACTGGAGCAAGAACTACCCAACCGGACCAAATGATCCAAGATGCAGGACCCAAGGAAGTAAAAGAGCCCAGACAAACTTTAGGGATTTCCTAAAGCCAAACATAACTGTGAATCACCAACCCGTATAAACAGTACAAAATTTGATGGAAATAGAAAATTTCGACATTAATTTTGAATCATTGATGGCGTTTTAATGACTTATAAAATTGTTATATAATGGACCGTTTAATGCTTCATCTGGTTAGCTTGGTTTTTAGTACGATATTCCAGTCATCATAACCTCAATAAAATATTTGTCCAGTGCATTGCTCATTTATTCATTGTTCATTGTAAAACTATTTTTGTTATGTCATTGCAACCACACCAAGAATGACTTGACAAATAAAGAACAAAGCTAGCGCCGCCATATTGGATTATTGAACAAGAAAAGCAAAGGGCAGTTTCTTATCTTCAGAAATTYCCTTATAAAAATATTTCTGGATGGCTAACGAACAAGTACATCAATTCTTCCAATCATCCACAGATCTTTAAATGGTTGTCGAAAACGTGTTTTTCTGAAAGAGGAAGATTAATGATAGTTTTARCTTTATCCAGGTGAACTCTACATTAACTACACCTATTCTGCAAATTTCAAAAGAGTATCAATTAGTTTTATCCCAAATATGGCCAATACTCCAATTTCGAGTTCTGGTTTGCTCTGTGTTAGCCTCAAAACCAAGTAACATATTCTTTTGTTTCATTGATAGCCTGTGAAAACGCATGGAATTTGAAAAGAAAGRCAATAGAATTGATATGAAATCTCACACTTTTATTCTCACAGTTAGGAATATTTTGCGCACAAATGAGGCTAACACAGAGCATTGGAGAATTCGAAACTGGATTATTGTCTCATAGCAATTCATAAAATTCATATTGTTTTAAAGAATCAGTTGCTATTCCGCCCAGCCTACTTGCCTGAATGAATTTGAATGGTAAAAAGAATAAAAAATAAAGTACTTTGTAGTCACTTAACTCGACTAAACAAAAACCATATAAACAATATATTGAACCATATCAAGTACTTCTCTTCTTTTAAATTCCTTATATTGATTTTAGTTTTTTCCGAGTTCAATTTTCTTAATGGTTCTTGACATTCAATTTGTTGGCTGGAATTACTTTTCGTTCTCAAAACATCTTATCAGAATTTCGAAATATCTATCTTTCTGTGATAGCGAAATACCTGATTTCAACAATTGATTAATTCACCCTTAAAAAAAGGATTGCAATTTGTATGTTCAAGAAGAGACTGGTACCGGTTAGATATCTACTGAGAGAAGACAATACATAACTGGTTGTTGAATGGATGTTACATGGGTATCTACAGGTATGTCATCACGGTCAAGTAGTGAAATACAATCCAGTGAGACAGATTTGGATTTGTTCGTATGCACAGCTGTGATTTTGATGTTATTTTGTTGTTGCTTTTTTATTTGTTTATTTTYATTATTATTCCTTTGTTAATTTGGTCTACATTTGGGATATTATGTTTTTGTGTTTGCAAAAGCTAAATTATAAACGTAATAAAAAGCACGATCAAGTCACCGACCGGGAAATTGTAGGTTAAATAGCAAAGCCAAGTCAATTAAATAATGTATCATCAAAATCATGTGCATATTGCGCTCTCAATATAAACCATATCATGAGAGTTGCACTTCATACTAAAGCATCACTAAGCATGATACAAAGATATAATCTATTTCCTATATTGTTCTTTATATTTCTATAGACTATTAACTTTAATTGACCGAGATATATCTTATTACATTGTGATTTCGGATTTTGCTTAATTATTGACCTCACTCATGAAGCGTTTCGTGAAATACAATAGAAATTTTGGTCAGTGCTGATTCTTGCCTGGTAAATCATTGTTGGAAATCATAGGCAATACCTTATATGGAAATTAGAACAATAGTCTAWATATATTTAGATATGTACTCTTCTTGACATTCAACTTAAATCACCGCCGACTAGCGGTTGAAAGTTCTTTCACCTKYCTGCTACYCAATCGTTTTTGATTKCATCAACTAAGAATTAATTTAGCTTTTACCAGTRAATAAKTTTAAGCRGRTAAGGATTACCATGAATCTTTTCCAAATCCTATCAACGCTGACTTTTGTATTCTTCCTGGACACGGGAATGGGACAAGGTAACGCGATCATTCATTGATCATTTGTGTGATACAGTAGATAGTGAATTGACAATGTATATTATAAAGTATCCTTAGAGGTGTACTGAAAAAAAAAAAAAAACAACGAACTTCTACAACAAAAACACAACCGACTAAATCATAACTTTGGATTAGTGTACCTTGAATATGGGTGGTAACTGAGATTATTGAAAAGAAGGCAGTATTTGTTATTATAGTTTCGTTCGCAAAAAAAAAAGCTGACAAATTGGTTGGACTTCCAGAACAATAACATGGTCTTAACTACTAGGCCAACATGGTCTTAACGACTAGGCCATTGCTTTCTTGTCTTTTCATATTTTCTTTAAGGGCTTTAATTAATTAAGGAGGTCAAGAGCTCACAAAGAAGGACGTTTTTCCCGTGATAATTTGAATAGAAAACATTTCTAATTGGAACAACTATTCTTGTTAGTTTTAATGAATTTTACTTGACAAGGAGCCCAAGCATATACGAAATTTATTGAATGCTTATTTTAAGAAGATGGAACTAGGAGAGGTGTGAAGAGGACACTTTTACCTGCTTGATGAAAAGTGTTAGMAAGTATTATATTCTTTTGCGTATCAAGCTTAATCGCAATGTGCTTTTTTAATGTGCTAAATGAAGAACAAAAGTTAAAAATAGGAAGCTAGGAAGCGCCAAAATCTGTCATTTTCCTAACCCTAACAATTTGTTTATCTCCTATTTAAGGATAATCCTATATCTTTCACAAGGCAAAGCAACTTAATGGTTGTATTAATATAACTTTCAAATACAAAACGTCCAAAAGCATATTTACTCGTGCAATAATATCCCTTTGGGAAAGACATTCAATCCCGCTGAAAAAATCTAACATTATATCTGGGTAGATATTTTCTTCAACCTCATTTCAATACGAAATAACTTTTATTCGCAGCTGTAGATGATGGATCGTGTGCGACTATGACACGTGGAGATGAGTCGTTCAATGAGGATATCAGGGATGTTCCTATGAAATGGTACGAGACGCCATCATTTGTGACCTTGTCATCAGGTAATGCATTAGATGCAAGCAAGAAAAATAGTGCTTTTCTTAAAGGACGTTATATTTGGTTTGACTTCATGAAATCTATGTAGCCAAATTTGTGTTCAAACCTTTAACCTTTCTACCCGATCAAAAATATGTTTGCCATTCAAAAATGTTCTGCAGTACTTGAGTGTCAAGAAGTATTCTCAACGTATGATAGTGCTTCATATTTAGATTGTGGGTTGTTGGGCTGTAAACACAGAGTGGATACAGGAAAAACCTAGCTAAGCCATACCATTAACTAGATACCTCGTAAATAGGTTATAAAGACTTCAATAGAGCTGCGAAAGATAAGTCTTATTTGAGTATGTTTCTATTTTAGGATGCAAAGGTCAAGACCCTCTTGGCATGGAAAGCGGTCTAATAACAAGACAGCAGCTTAAGGACACCTCTTCATCGTATAATAAATTCCACGGTCCAGAGAATGGCAGGCTAAATTTCGCAAGGGCAAGAGGAAGGACTGGTTCCTGGTCAGCAGCAACCAATGACGAAAATCAATACCTCCAAGTCGATTTTCTTCGAAACGTGAAACTGAGAAAATTTGCMACACAAGGTCGACCAGATTCTCCTCAGTGGGTAACAAAGTACAAGCTGACATATAGTCCCGATGGCTCCTCGCCTGCCTTCGAAACTTAYCAAGAAAATGGAGTCGATAAGGTGAAAATGTATATTTAGCTTTGTATAAGATAAAAGATCATCAATATGAATGTTTCAACTGAAGTGGTGCCTATWGCTACATTACAAAATATCTAGTGGTCAAGCTGTCTCCTACTTTGCAAGTGTTGTTGCTGGTATTATTACAGACACTGCGAATATGAAATTTTGACGTAGTATGTTTGAGACTTTACAACATTGGATGGATCACATAAATTGACGGTATTCTCTCCTCTTGTTTTCAGATCTTCGAGGGAAATACTGATCAGAACACCGTCGTCACTCATACCCTAGAAGGACCAATCAAAGCCCGATATGTACAGATMAAGCCAGTCGAATGGAAAGGTCATATCTCCATGAGAGCAGAGTTTTATGGATGCGTTCTATCGAGTAAGATGATATATATTTTTTCATATTAATAAGCCTTTTCACCTTTAAAAAGCAAAAGTTAACATGGATTGCTAGCGTCGGTACAAAAGTCAAATATACATTCAAAATCAAAGCGAAAAAAGAAAATCATTGCATTGTATTTAAAATTTTTGATTTTCTTTACCTATATTGTTGTTGAACTGTCAAAGGCTTGTAGACCTAATGATTTTATGTGTATAACTGTGCACCATTCAACAGACCGCTATCAAGTACTGGGTCGAAATGTTCACATGGATTACGTTAAAGAACATCTGAGGACAAAGGAAGGAGTGGATTTTGGAGACACCCAAACACGTCCTAACAACATCGAACTTGAAGTGCTCGCCGATACCATCTATGTTCGCGTATGTTGCCATATTGTTATTTTTTCATTATGAACATGTCGTACAGCGGCTTTGATCGTTGCATAGGTTGAGGGCCGTGACCTTAACGTGCCAGACAAGGTTCGGTGACTGTGAGTTGTATTATATGTGCTGTCATACTAATCCGCTCCAGTAGTGTTCGCGGTTGTTGTGGCAAGTGCTGTTGGGGTGTGTTGATGGTACTGTTAGCAACGGTGTCTTGGTAATTGTGGCTGCGCCTGTGATGGTGCTAGAAGTGATGATGGTGGTGCTGGTCGATACAGCGGAGGTTATTATAGTTAAATCATTTCTGTTCTRCAAAAACTTGCAGGGAGTCGTCCAAATGCGCGGTATAAGTAAGCTAAAGATGTTCAGTCGGAGAGTAATCTTTTTAAAGAACAGTAAACTGGATCTCAGAGCTCCTGTTCTATCGCAAACTAACCCCACATTAAGCGCTGGGCAAGATGGAAACGACGGAAAACACGGTGTTGACGGACCAAAAGGTTTGTTTCTCATATAAACATCCCTTTTTGATCAAATCATAATATTATTATATATAATCAGAGGCGCATCTAGGATTTTCTTMAGGAAGGAGCATCCAAGGATAACTTGAACCAGCCTTAAAAAGAAGAACACAAAAATGTTGAAAGGAAGAGATTTTATGCAAGGAACAGCTAACGTGATCCACAACCGATACAAATGAATGATGAATATATGATTTTTATCTTCTTTGTAGTTAAAATTTTTGCCGATTCATCACGAGGCTACTTGAATATTGAGTCAAGTGGAGGAAATGGAAACCGAGGTCAAAATGGTGCACCAGGAAGGAAAGGAGCCGACAGCCAACATAGGGTAACAATGCTATCATTCTACAGTATTTATTGATCTCTCAATATTAAAGTTTAAGTACGATTATGTATTGTTCTCTACTAATGCTGCTGGCGAAATTAATTGATATTTTTTGGTTATACGTTTATAGCAACCGAGCAGGTCAGGAACTGACTGCACAAATCATGCAGGAAGAAACGTTTTTAATCACCGAATCTCAAGGTGCAATAATGTTAATGGCCTAAAGGGGGTAAGAGGAGCCAATGGYGGCATGGGTGGATACGCTGGAAGATCAGGTTAGAAAGATGCAGGATTAACTCATAGTCCTTCAAAGCAACGTATCATGGAAGGGCCTRCTATTCTCATGCAATCTTGGACAGTTGTGTTAAACGTGTCAATCCCATGAAGCTCTGCTTACTTAGAGTTCATTGTTAGGCGGAGAAAGCTCAGTTGTACAAGTCACTATAAAGGCGACAGTTATAMCATTGTTTTGAAGATTGCATACGCATTCTACTTATCCAGTGTCCCTGTTGTTAAGTTTTAAGCTGACAGAGGTTCATCAAAAAATCTATGAAGAAAATCTCATATTGCTGTCATTTGGTACACCTCTAAACTATTTTCATGTATACGTATGCCTCTTATCATCACACATTCACATTTATTGTCAATTTATTTATAAAGTATCTATACAGACTGCCTCGATTAGTCATTAAACTATTTGCAGTCTGTATATGTAATTTACATTTTTTAATTTAAATTATTGAATAAAAATTGAATTGAATTGAAGATATTTTTTAAAGGCAATGGAGGAAACGCTGGTCGTCAAGGTATATACATAAGGAAAATAACAGGAAAAATGGAGCTTAAAACGTGCCGTGGAAGTGGAGGTCAGGCATCTGCAAATGGAGAAGGTGGTGCAGGTATATAAAGAGGCCATTCATTCSCTTTTGAACTCTCCAAGGTCTTTTAAATACTCCCAACTTGTCTTTACTGATATATTTAAGAATGCGCTAAATAATTGCTTYAGTACTTCTAAGAACTTTATGGTATATTTTTAATGAAATTTTAGGYGGTCTTGGAGGACAAGGAGGAAATGGAATTAAGTGCACATTTTGGGARCGTTGTAGYTGGAGTGGTTTTTCATGTTCTAGCCGCTGTGACACCAACGGTGCATTACCCCAAGGACCCCGAGGAGACACGGGGAGTAAAGGGCAAAACGGACAAGGTATAATACTTTCAAAGACATGCTCYAAAGTAGTTTATTTSGTTATCAAGACATCCAACTTGTTTAAATGGTCTCCTCGACAATTTAGAATGATCATAGTGTTCTCTTTTGAACCCTTCAAAYTTAGGCTTGGTTGGAGCTGGCGCAGACGGTGAAGTTGACATTTCTTATCTTAATAAAAAGAAACTGACAAAAAAAGGGAGAAAAAAGTATCCATTAGCTTTAATCAAACTCATGACAAGATTGGCCGAAGACCGTGTCTGGGCGAATGATCTTGGARTGGCAAGATCAGTGTTTCAATTTGTCGTTCGACTGACGGCAAGGAGAAAGGATGCAAAGAGCCTTGAAAAATGTAAGTTTATTAAGAATTCTTTTCAAATATATTATCATTTAGTCATTTTCCTATAAACTCACCCATGCGGGCTTAACTTGTGGAACAAACAGAAGATTTTTAAAATGATATTTTGATATTTTTCTTGGAAAMGTAGCTACTCATACGGTTGCAGAAGTTAGGATCATTTCACAAAATGATACTCTTAATAAGGTCATTTGAAAATAGGAAGTATGATAATCTTGAATTAGGTGTAAACCAGGTCACTATTAGACAAGTTCCCATGACCATTTCGTGTCTGTTCCGTTATCCGGCTCTTATTCACAGTTATGTGAAATCCTCTCTCGAGTACGGTATCATCCAAGAAAGGCTTGCGTATCCACTAACTTCATCACTAAATATTCTAGTTTTGAGATCCAACTCACGTAAAAGTTGTTTGTAGAAATCAAMTTTTGGTATACCCCTGTGGAGTTCTTGACGTATTGTCGTTCTTAGTAAGTGATTCTTTTTCAGTTGCAAAGCACAGGTTAGCCTTCTTCAACAAGGAAGGATTTGACAGATTTGGAAGAAATAAGTTATTTGCCCCATTGATGAAATGGGAAGCTTTCAGGCAACAAGTTGTCCAAATTAGAAATTACGCCAGAGATTATGAAACTGCGTATAATGGAATCAAGGCATCTATARAAAGGGGGGATGGTATAAGGCAGATACTGAGAGCACTTCCTCAGTCAGCCGTGGTTCAAGTTAGCAAAGAGAAAGACAGACTTATTGAAGCAAGGAGGATATCRCTAACCGAGAAAGGGGCCTACGTACCGGTAAGGCTACCAGATTTCTTCCTTATTTCAAAGAAACTGCCATGATATGATCATAGCACGCATTACGTTATAATTCATTGTTATATTTCAAGAAATTAATGACGAGAATAATGTSAATAATTCATCGGCCGCTTTGAAAATATTCTTTATGTCACAGGCCATAAAGGAACTGGARTCAAGCATGGAAGGTCTTTTAGCAGATGTAGTGAAACAAGTCCCTGACGTCCAYGAAGCGTCAAAATTTACCAAACAGGACATGTTTGCAATATTGCAAGGCATTGCTGGGTTTCTAAGTGGAGTTGCGGGAGGAGACCCATTCGCAGCTCTTGGTGCTGCTRTTGAAACAGCTGRACACTTTGCGACAAAGTGCAACACTGGTACTCTGCAAGATATTTTGGGCAATGTTAATAAATGGATGACTTTTGGTAAGGCTTACAAGGAGCTGGAGGATTCTAGCGAACTGGATTTTGATAAAATGGATGTTGGTGCCGTCCCTGAAGTAATGCAGGTAACATGTGAAACTAATTAAGCATTCATTTTCCTAATTTTTCTGAAGTATTCCAAGCGGTATAATACGAATAATGACTTTCAAGCCAATATTTCTTGTATCTTTTAAAATTGTCTTAAGGCAAATTTAGAAATGAACAAGGAAGGTCTCGCTGCAGACCTCGTATGTCTACTAGAAGAAAGGCTGCAAGAGCACCAAACAGCATATGTGAAGGCACAGATCGAGAGATTCTTCATTGCTGGAGCTGCTAG